CAGATAAACAAATGAACCGCTAACAAAATATAAAGATATTACAATAAGATGTGGCTAGCAAGTTGAGAAGGCTTTTTCTTTTCCCTGGGCAGAAGGAATTTTTAGAACTGCACTGAAGATTTTAACATATGAATAAACTATTACAGCAAGGTAGATAAAGGCCAGAGAGTCACCAACACAAATAATCCAAAATATGATGAGATATGAGTCAGAGGAAGCAATTTTGATTAACTGTGGAATTTCACAGAAAAACTGACTGATGTCATTAGAACAGAACTCAATTGTGAATGTACTGCCAGTATATACTGTGGACTAGATAAGCCCAGTAATCCATGCACTGATTGCCATTTTGACACATGTTTTTCTGTTCATCACAGTCTCATAGTGCAGAGGATTGCAGATAGCAAAGTAGCAGTCATATGCCATGATGCCAAGGAGGAAAAAATGAGATACAGTGAAGAACATAAAGTAGAAAACCTGGCAGATGCATCCATTGTATGAAATGGTCTTGGTGTTCATCAAGGAATTTGCCAAGGATTTGGGTAACTGAGACAGATATGGAGCCAAGGTTTTGGAATGCCAGATTGGCTAGAAGGAAGTACATGGGTTTGTGAAGATGAGGACTGAAAATTATGACTGTGATGATGAGGAGGTTTTCAGTGACAGCAATCAGATAAATGATCAAGAATGTAATGAAATGAAATGTCTTCAGTTCCTGAGTATCAGAGAATCCATGCAGAAGGAATTCCCCCACTCTAGATGACTGGTTGAACATTGTGTGGCTGTGTAGTACCTGCAAAGAGATGGCACAACTATTTTAGAGAGGAGGAGGAGGAGAATGTTATGACGCATGTTCCCCAATGTGATCAAGTAGGTTGACTTAGGTCACCAATAAACCATTGCTTGTTTAATAAATAATTTTTGTTTCTTCAGTTAACAAAATGTATAGTCTGTTAAAAATGTAAAATCTCTTAAGTGTTTGATATAGAATATTGTATTGCCTCCCAGATAACACAGCAAAAATTAAAAACTAGTAGACATTGTTGATAGAATTATTCCACGTGTGGGTTAACTTGTCAACAGAAAGAATGTTTTAGGAAGCATTTTAAACAGTCCAACGAGAGATTCAATTTGATGTTCAAAGGCAAGGAGTTATAAATATTGGTGCTACCCTGAATATTTCCTCCCTGATTAAGAACAAAGTTCACATGGCACTGGTGCAACTACAAATTGGCACAGGTTGGAGCTATAGAGTATGAATGTGTGAGGCCAAGCAAGTCTTCAGATAAACTGAACCCAATCTATTTAGGGCTTTATATGTTAACAGTAACTCCTTAAACTTGGCAGCTGGTACACTTATTTGAGCAAAGGTGCAATGTCCCCACATAATCTCACCGTTGTTAACAATGATGCTGCAGCATACTGTCCTAACTGTAGTTTTTGTACCAGACACAAGGAAAACCTCACATAGTATACATTGGAGTAATACAGTCTTGGAGTCACCATTGCCTTCTCTCTCCCTGTTGACAGAAGTGGATGAAATTTGCAGGCATACTAGCCCCTCCAGAAATATATATATATCCCAAATTACAAGAAAATAAGTCAGGATCTTTTGTGATGGGCAGCTTTGTGTTAGTTTTTGTGTTGGATAGTTAGTTAGTTTGTTTGCTTGCTTGCTTTTAATGAAGTGTCTATTTATTTTTAGGCAGAAGTGGATTTTATTCTGAGCCAGGTGACTCTGAAGCCACTATTTCTGCCAAATTTCAGAAGGATAGTATTTTTTGGAAAATGGTTAGAAAATAGCCTACATGAGAGAGGCACTGCTTGCTAAGAAACCTTCCAGATTTCAGACAAATAGATCCAGGAAACTTTGTGCTAAGCACCTTTCAATTTGCTGGGGATGAGAGATCTAAAAGGGAATTACAGTACTGGAGTATCATTGCCTCAACAACTGTGGCTAAGCTATCCCAGTGCAAGCAGCTATTATGATATCAGCCAAAACTGAAAAAAGTCATTTGAATCATCCCACAGCAACTATGCACAAGAAAGGGGTAATGGCAGACTTTGGGCGCAATCTCTGTATGTCTTTCCCCATGTCAGGTTTCCAGCATGCATAAACAAAGAGGGACAGACTGACTCATTCTCTTCAATGTCCTAGGGGAATAAGGAAGTGCAGAAAATAATATTCTCTTTATTGAATGAAATGGTACCATTCTTGGTTACATGGTGACTTTTCTGCACATCTAAACTTTGCAGACTTTGGACTAGAGAATCCATAAATATGTTTCACTTGGAATTAAACTTGCTTTTTATTAATAAGGTCACCAGTAAACAGACTGAAATGTATACCATGAGATTAACTTACTGAGCTGTTTACAGGTAGATCTTGGGTAATTTCCTGCATGTTTACATGTTTCTTTTTCGTGCCTGATTGTGACCTGTGTTTTCTTTCTGGGTAGCCGCTGTGATTCGCCTTTTCATCTGTGTATCATATCCTTTTCTCTCCATAGCTGTTTGAGAGGCTCTCTCTCTTACTTTTCTCTGTACTGGCGGAAGGAAAAAGGAGATGCTGCAGTGAATTTTATCCATATTTATTTCCATCACTCCCAGGAGTCTAATCAGACTCATGGGTATGTGGTATGTTTGTACAGTGGTACCTCAGGTTAAGTACTTAATTCATTCTGGAGGTCCATACTTAACCTGAAACTGTTCTTAACCTGAAGCACCACTTTAGCTAATGGGGCCTCCTGCCGCTGGAGCATGATTTCTGTTCTCATCCTGAAGCAAAGTTCTTAACCTGAAGCACTATTTCTGGGTTAGCAGAGTTTGTAACCTGAAGCGTATGTGACCTGAAGCGTATGTAACCTGAGGTACCACTGTATGTGTTTTACTGTTTACATGTAAAAACATTCCATGGAGTACCAGATGATATAAATTCAAGCAATAATCACAATGTGACATGGGGTTTCCCTCTTTCTTGTTCCTTTGCCATTGACAGTCTTGGGTTTGCCACTGAATAATGTGAAAAAAAATGCCATCGAGGTAACTGCTTTTCAGAATCATCCCTACAACAAGAGTGTTTGTTATGTCCATAGAGGCTATTAAAAGAGGAAATTTGGCTCATATGAAATAAAAACACCTGTTTTTTCTTCCACTGACACCCCTCATCCAACAAATTTGGGAAGCCTTTGAAGTAATTAAAAATCCTGACAATCTTGTTCATAGTGAAGCAAATGTGTGATGGATGCAATAGACCAGGCATGGCCAAACTTGGCCCTCCAGATGATTTGGGACCACAACTCCCATCATCCCTAGCTAACAGTACCAGTGGTCAGGGATGATGGGAATTGTAGTCCCAAAACATCTGGAGGGCGAAGTTTGGCCATGCCTGCATAGACCCTACAAGTCTTGGTTCCATTTCAGAACTGTGAATTAATAACATATCTTAATATCTCAACATCTGAGTTCCCTCTATCTTGTTCCTTTTGTTTTTTTTACTGTGTGTATTAAGATCCCAGGTGCCCTTCCCAGCATGGACATCCATGCAGCATCCAGCCAATCCATTTTACATCCCAAATGTGGCATGCAATTTTGACCATATGACTCTTCTATGCCCTTAAGCTCTTGTGTAGTAACTTTCTGCCACACAGAACTGCATGGGAAGCTTTCATGAATATGCTGGGCTCATGGTCGCAGAAGTTTATTTTACTCATATGAGGGGCAGGGAGGCATTGCATGGCCCTTGGGTAGAGCTATAACATCCTCACAGCCTGTCCCTACCCAGCCAAGAAAAGGAATCATTTTGCAGAATATTCTCCTGCTAGGACCAAGATGGAGAAAATAAGAAAATTGAGTCAGAAAGCAGAGATTCTGGGCTGTTTTCCCTTCCCTTACTAAAGGAAGAAGATGGTTTTCTTGAATGCTTCCGGACGTATAAAATTACTATATGGTTAGAAAATGTTCAGACCAGGAAAAAATGGTTTTGCAGAGCCTTCATCCTCAAGTGCTATCTGTTTCCATGGAGGGAGGGGTTTTTGTGTGTTACAAGAACATTGTCCCTGAAATCTTATTCCATACAATCCAGTCCTGCCCTTTCAATCTATAGCCTGACATGAGGCAATGAGTAGAACTGACCTACTCTCAGGGGCTGGTAGCACTCCAAAGAGTGTGGGGTGGAGGCAGGGACCAGGACAGATACCCAGGAGAGGTGATTTGTGGGGTTTGACACCACCTGCAAGGCAAGAGCCAGGAGAGGACGGAGAGTCAGGGCAGCCTGAGATGGAGGAAAGTGTGCCAGATGTAGCAGAAGAAGAGGCTGTTGAGCCAACAGATGGGTCAGTAGACTCCCCACCTTCCCCCATTCTGCTGTCTCCTAGAACCAGGAAGGTCTTGAAGCAGCGACTTCCATGCAAGAGAAATCTCAGGTTGCAGGCACGTAACCCATCAGAACAGGGTATGTAGGCTGGCAGTGGAGGATGGAGTCTCCCTGTTGCTGCAACTATTCCACAGGGCCTGGACCTGTGGACATCTGCCTTGAGGCTAGAAGTGTGTATGAGTGTGTATCTGGAGCAATGTCGAAGCTACTGTACATGCTTTTCTTGTCAATAAAGACTAAACTATCAGAGGTGTGCCTTACTTGGCTAGGAAGGGCAAGAACACCTAAATCTTTTTCCATTCATCCACACATGGTGAACATCTCAGATGCGAGTCAGGCTGCAAACATGCTTAAGGAATCTGGGACAAGATAATGGTAAAGGAGCTGGCACATCCATGTTGGTGGGAGCTCTAGAATTGGTGGGTGAAGGTGAGAAGCAGGTAATGTGGCCTGCTGAATTGCTCTACACACACGCCTGAAAAATGTCTTCTGGCAGCAATAGTTACAGAGTGCCCCCAAAGGTCCTACACCCACCCTACTCCCCCACACTAACAGAGTATCCATGCACAAAATCACAACACATTTGTTTTAGCTCTGATTAAATGAATCACTGGACTGCAAAGGGGATGTTTATTTGTTTAAAGACTTTATTCATTCTCGACAGTACGACTGTCATGAGAGATGAAGATTATGGAAGAATCACATCATCATTTCCTTTGAATTAGAAGGGTGACATTTAACAAGGAAGCAAGCATTCGAGGGCGCTTGAGCATATTTGGACTTTATCTCCAGGATTCTTCCATTGCTGAGCTAGAAGAAAATAAGAACCAATAAATGAACAAGTCCCAAGGCTAACCTGCAGAACATTTTAGAAAATAAAAGCTACCTCACTCAATTCATACAGTCCCATTACTAGTTACATAAAGATCTTCCTGTAAGACTGAGTTGATTCGTCCCACTTAAGAATGTTCCACTCATAATGAGGGAAGATAAATTCCAGGAAGACTCAGATGTGAGTTTGGGGGGATCTTGTACCTTTCCAAGTCTGAATATCAAGTTGAAAATGTGGGTGCTGGGACAGGGGGTTACTTGAATTCAGATTGTGCACTTGATAATGTAAACAGTTAACTGCATGTAGGAACAATGTGTGTTTGCTACCATGCATTTCATCTGAATGCTCTATATTGCCACTGACAGACTTGGGCCTGCCACTGAATAATGTGAAAAAATGCCATCGAAGTAACTGCTTTTCAGAATCATGCTTACAACAAGAGTGTTTGTTATGTCCATAGAGACTATTAAAAGAGAAAATTTGGCTCCTATGAAATAAAATCACCTGTCTTTTCTTCCACTGACACCCCTCATCCAACAAGTTTGGAAAGCTTTTGAAGTAATCCAAAATCCTGACAATCTTGTTCATAGTGAAGCAAATGTGTGATGGACGCAATAGACCCTACAAACTTTGGTTCCTTTCAGAACTTTGAAATAATAAAATCTTTTAATATCTCAACATCTGCATTTCTCTGTATCTCCAAGGGAAGTGTATTATATGAATCTGGAAGGCATGCTTACTAAATGATTCAGATATACAGCCTTTTGTCATAGCGTAATTATGCATTACACTGAATACATGTACCAGTTGTGTCTACACATGTACAAATGTTCATACGTTTGTGTGAAAGAGCATACACTTCTTTGTGTAGCTCAGTTATTGTCTATACAGGGGCACAGACTATATACCTGTTGAATGATACAAGTGAATAACTATACTAGGGTTTGCCCCAGTTATTTGTGAACACAGATATTGTATGCAGATTGTGTGCTCATATAATGTAACGTGAACATCCATAATGTCATGTTTGGCTATGGATATGTATCAGGCATGTAGCTAAAACAACAGAGAACTAAATGATTCTGGAAGGACACAGAACAATCCACTAACTTTCAATGCAATCATAGTCCCCCGTGCATAACTGCCTCCACAGCAGGTACCAGTTAGGTCTTTTCATCAGTACTAAATCACGGAGACACCTTGACACAAGCCTCTCTTCCACATCTGCTCACCTGAGATGTTTAGCTTTCTCCAAAAGCAGTTCGGGTCCTTTCAATCAGTTTGGGACCCTGGAAGAAAAACACACAATTCCCTCAGACATTGTTAAGGAAAGTATTCCTCATAGTTCTTTCACTGGATGAATAGTTAATCATGCTAGTTTAACAGCCTCTCATAAATTATATGGAGAGCCAATTCTTCATAAGCAAGGAACTTAAAACTCTGTCTCATCACCCACAGTCTCACTTTAATTGTTCAGCAAAAGCAGCAATTACAATTCCATATGTCCAGAGCATCACATTCAAACAAAGAAACATTTTGTTGTTGTTGTTCTCTTGCTCACACCTTAACCTTGAGACCCAGTTCCTGGTTTCCTGGAAACTCATTGTTAGTTGTTTGTCTACTAGATTTGGGCAAACTGAACTGTATTGAAGTGATTCAGGAAAAACTGGGCCTTGGTTTAGCCAGGCCCCAAATGGCTGCAATTTGGACTGTCCAAAGCAAACTGGGGCTGTCAGAGGGTGTAGTACCGGGCAGGAAGAAGGCGAAAGTATGAAAAGGAGTGACCGAATAGGCAGTTATGTCTTCGTGGGAAAAGGTAGGAGTGGGTAGATGCCAGTCCTATTCTGCCTCTCCTTCTTCCTGCCAGACTCTTCTTTTTTCCTGTCCCTCAAAGCAGCACCCCACAAGGTCAGATCCTCCCACTTACCAGCTGAGCAGTATGGGTTGCTACTCCTTCACAAGTGGCTTCCCTTTCATGCAGGGAGGCCACACGTGAAGCAGCAACAAATCTTTTGCTGTACCTTCTCAAGCAGCCTCCTTGTGTGCAGGGAAGTCACTCAACAAGGTGCAGTACCCCACAGGATTAAATCCAATTTGAGGGGGAAAGAAGGACATGCAGCATCTCCTAGCTTCTCCTGCCCCTTCCTTACTATGGGAACAGATCCAGGGTGGGATAAGTGGTTCACAGAGCAGCAGAGGGTGGTTGGCCCAATCTAGGGATTGTAGATTGGGACCACAGGATAGGTCAGAGGTGTCTATGAACAGCCCTGTTGTCTACTGCTATGGTAGCTCTCAATCTTCTCTGTAGCAACCCAGTTCAATAGTAACCTACCATTTTGTAGCCAATGATTGGTGGTGGTGGTGGTGGTGGTGGTGGTGGTGAGTGTGTGTGTGTCTTGAACACAACAGTATACCATCAAATGCTTCCCATACACAAAAGCATCTGAAGCATCTGAGCTAGAATGTATTCCCCCATTCCCCATTTGAGTATTCTGGACTTGATACTTCTGCACTTGATTCTTTCTCTGCCTTGTATTCAGTGCAGTCCTAAGGACATCTGCTCACAGTAGTCCTCAGGATTATCTTGATTCCGAATTAGTATACTCAGGGCTTTCTCTAACTGGAACTCACTGGGACTCAGTTCTGGCACCTCTCAGGTGGGCACCATTGCCATTATAAAAGAACAAGGGAGGTGTTCAAGGTGAGCTCTGGCACCTCTTTTTCTGGAAAAATAGCACTGGGTGTCCTCAGCAAAAATTTAAGTCACATTTATTATCTCTCATCTAGTCTCCCATGCCTTCTGCTCATGGTGTTGCTAGCTGCAATCCCACTAGTTGCATCCCATTAATGAAGACATCTGAGGTGTGTCTTCTCAGAGAGCTGCAGAAATGCCTGTTTGCCACACATCACTGACTAGGAGTTCAGGGCCACACATTCATATTCCACCATATGCCCATAGCCTTGTCACACTGCCAGTGAAAGAAAAAAAATGCTATGGATACTTGTCTTCATTTTAAAAAAATACCTCTCTTTCAAAACATGTCTTAGAGTCAGCATCTTCGCAGCACTGTGTATTCATGCCTTGGAAATCTACAACCACGCCCGCTAGTTGCTCATCAGTGATTGTGGGCTTGTGCTTTATCAAGTCGACAAGCTGCCTGCAACGACAACAAAAGTAAGTTGGAGGATGGAATCATTAGCCTCATGAAAAGTGATGAGAGAGTAAAAGCAGGCCAAGCATGTCCTTTCTTCAAAGCATCACTTCAAAATTGGGTCATTATAATCACTTTAGGTCACCACTAGGGATATTATGTGGGACGTGGGTGGTGCTGTGGTCTAAACCACAGAGCCTAGGGCTTGCCGATCAGAAGGTCGGTGGTTCGAATCCCTGCAATGGGGTGAGCTCCTGCCCACCTTGCAGTTCAAAAGCACATCAAAGTGCAAGTAGAGAAATAGGTACTGCTCTGGTGGGAAGGTAAATGGCGTTCCGTGCACTGCTCTGATCTTACCAGAAGCAGCTTAGTCATGCTGGCCACATGACCCAGAAGCTGTCTGCGGACAAACACTGGCTCTCTCGGCCTATAGAGCGAGATGAGCGCGCAACCTCAGAGTTGTCCGTGACTGGACCTAACGGTCAGGAGTACCTTTATCTTTAGGGATATTATAGGGTTGGAAATGATGTTACAAGGCAGGAGACAATGCTTCCCCTCTGAAATGGAAGGTAAAAGGTCCTAGGGAAGAGAGGGGCAGGAAAGGCAAAACCCCAGGAAATATTGAGGGAGGGGGGCTGGGAAGACAATAGGATAAATAAAGGAATGGGGGTTCAAATAGGAGAACTTTCTGAGAAGCCAAAGAGGGTGGCAGAGTGTAGGCAGCAAGGTGCATTTGGTCAGAAGTTAAAGTGGTGAAGAAGGCTAAAGTCCATAAACACTAACTGATTTGAAATAACCAGCCAAATATTGGGCTGCATGCTTCTGGTTTCTTACTTTTGCTTCTTGCGCTTCAGAACTTCTGGATCAGCTGTGCATAAATCTGGATGGAAGGTGAACAGGTCGGGAGCAAATGGTGTAGGCTGATATTCTGGATCCGGTCCTAAACCACTGAAACATTCCCGACGGAAAGTTAAGGAGTCACCACAGCATTTGCACACTTGTTTGTTGATGTGATGCATTTCATGCTCCCGACATATCTCTCCAAGCACAAAGGAGACCTGGAAGGGTTTCAGAAAACAGTAACCAAAGGGGTCAAAAGGCTGAACAACACCTCTTTGAAGAAAGACTGCATTTTAGTTTAGAAAAAAATGCAAGCAAATTGAAGTATATATCATTTGGGGAGGGGCAGTGATAATACTATCACTGTGGAGGGGGATGTGTGAAGAGTACCTGTAGGGCAGAGTTATTTTCATCTGTATTCTAAAGCTGAGCTAGGCATTCAACCTCTCCAAAAAGTCCATTGTCATGATAGGGATAGAAATTGCCCCTCCCAGTCATTAGCTTAATAATCAGATATGCATTCTCATTGTAATGCAGTGCATGGCAAATGTGTCTAATTTTGTACTGTACACATGTGAATGCTCTGTGCGTGTATCTTGCAAGTTTGTGAAAGGTGTCACCTTGGGCCATAGCCACCACTGACATGAAGTCCACAACCAGCCTGAAATGTTTGACATTGTACTATGCTTTTATATGCTCTGTAAGCCACCCAGATTGGCTGGGGAAACCCAGCCAGATGGGCAGAGTATAAGTAATAAAATTATTACTATTATTATTATGTCACATGCAGATTAGATTTTTGCAACATGCAAAAAGGAAGGGATGTTATGGGGGGTAGAGGGTCTCATGGTTTGGAGCATGATGCTCCAGCATTTGTTGCTCTTCTAGATGGCCCATCCCTAGGAAGCAAGTGATGAGGGGCAGGCAATGGGCACAGCTCTGCTTCTATGGCCTCTGACCAAACCTGTGCCCTTAGATGCAGTGGACGATGCTATCCTGTTACCAGCAAGAGCCTGATGCCATTGTGACTGGCATTCGTAAATGGAATAAGAGGGATGTCATTTCGTACTTCACCAGAGATGTTGCAATATCTTGGGCTGACCATGGCTGTTCTGTACTTAGAATAGAATCATAGAATCATAGAGTTGGAATAGACCACAAGGGCCATCGAGTCCAACCCCCTGCCAAGCAGGAAACACCATCAGAGCACTCCTGACATATGGTTGTCAAGCCTCTGCTTAAAGACCTCCAAAGAAGGAGACTCCACCACACTCCTTGGCAGCAAATTCCACTGCCGAACAGCTCTTACTGTCAGGAAGTTCTTCCTAATGTTTAGGTGGAATCTTCTTTTTTGTAGTTTGGATCCATTGCTCCGTGTCTGCTTCTCTGGAGCAGCAGAAAACAACCTTTCTCCCTACTTCTCAGCCCGATTCCAATAGCTTGCCATTACATTTAAATCCCCAAACAGTTTGGGCACTTAATGGAATTCTGAGGTGGTGGGTGGGAAGGAAAGGGGCAAGGACAGACAGAGAGGCAAATATGGAGAAGAAAACGCTCACATATTTCTCAGCACATGGTAGCTTGTGGGCTTCATCTTCGTGGCAGCATTTGGCAGCAGCTTTTGTGAGTCCCTTGGTGTATTCGTACAGTTGGTCAAAAGTCAGCTGGGGTGCTTTCTTGGTGTAGTGGACAAGCAACCTGCAAAGAGATCTTAGTCAGAGGACATTTGGGATGCCATGCTCATCTGAGGTGGGCTTTCAACAGTGCTATTTTTCTAGAAAAGGAGGTGCCGGAACTCACTATGAATGCCTCCTTCGTTTTCTTAGAATGGCAATGGCGCCCACCTGAGAGGTGCTGGAACTGAGTTCCGGCAAGTCCCGGCTTAACCCCCCCTCCCGCCTTGCAGTAATGAGGAAATTTCATTGTCTCTCAGGTTTGAGAAGACAAGCAAGGCTTCTTTTAAGGACTATGGTGGGACTATGGGGAAAAGGAGTTTCATTTCATGAGCTCTTCCCATCCCCACAAAGCCTTCTGTTTCTACCTAAGCAAACTCTGATTTACTCTGATTTTTGTTACACAGCTAGTAGGACACCATATTACTTAGCTGACGGTGAATTCCTGAGAGATGCGCAACAGCTAGAATTTTTACTCTTCAACAGATGCGGGGGCAATCATTGAAGTTGTTTTGTCTCAGAAAGGTTTTTTGCATCCTGAGCTCACATAAATTGTTGAGCATCTTGCCCCCTTTCACAAGCTGGAAATCTTATGACAATAAAAAACATACTCATTTTGGAAGAGGTAGTCTCCTGCTGTCGCATGCAGTTCACAGTTTTTCTTCATCACTTCTAGGGTGTCAGAAATGTGTTTTTTGAGCTCTGCTTCCTGAAAGAAAGGAGAATTTCTGATATATGTATATTTTTATAAGAGCAGAACTATAAGAAAAGATGCAGCTTTGAGAGGAAGTTTGAACAGGCTCTGTAGCATGCCTTTTATGCAAAAGAAGACAAGAGCTTTATTGAAGGTAAACATAGAGGAGGATTGACAAAGGCATTTTTTAAAACATAAAAATGGCTAAACATGAAATTTCACAGCATCATTTCCTACAGTGTAAGAGGCAACACAGAAGAATCCATTTGAGGGAGCTAAAGGATGGCAATAGCCTATTATGAGGCAACAAAGGAAAGTCATATTTATGGCAAAACATGTCTTTAAGTGCAAATTTTATCTTAACACTCACATTTCTAAACATCCCTTTTGTACATTTTTGGTACAGGATCAAATAATTCAGAGAAATGTGAAGTCCACAGGGTGATTACATTTAGTTCTATGCATTACTCTGAGAGGAGTGAATTATATCATTTTGCTTAAAAACATGCACCTTAGGAAATTTTCTTTCCGTTACCCGAACATAGGCAATGCCTGTCACCAAAGGGTTGCTTTGCCACCCTAAAGTTCCCAGGTCCAATTCTTTGCATCCAAGGTAGTCCTAGGAGAGATCCCTGCTTTGTAAGAGCTAGTTCTACCTGTCCTACAAAATGTTCACAACCTGTCTTCTGCGTATCAGGAAACAAGCAAATATCCTTTGTATGGAGATGAAGCATAACCCACCCCATGGCCAAGGCACTCCACAACATTCTCAAGAGGGCAGCACTTCTCCAACAAATCACCATAGCCTTTGCCAAGTCTCACAAGCAACTCTGGGGATAACTCAGGGTGTCTCCTTCCATATTCATGCACAAACCTGAAACACAGGAAATATCCCATTAACAGAGTATGAAGATGAGGATGACAATGTTAACACCAACAGAAATAAACGCTGAAAGGGAACACTTTTCAGCCCGAGGGCTACATTCCCTTCTCAGCAACCTTTGGTGGGAGGGAGGGAGGGGAGGCACTGCCAGGGGTGTATAGGGCTAGAGTCAAAAGTAATTGCAGCAATACATTTGAATTGTACATTTGTACAGCATTATTTGAGTTAAAGGACATGTTCCATCCAGGCAAAAGTCCTCGAAGGAAGATGAGGCTAGTAAGGGGTGTGGCCTGCATAGTTTGTTTGTTTGTTTGTTTGTTGTTGTTGTTATTCCCAGCCAGATTGCCCTAGCCAATCTGGTGCAGCATGGAAGCTTTGCAAGTCACATTTGGTCCCTGGTCTGAGGTTCCCAGTTTTGGCTTAGTGTTCAAATAACTTCAAATATATCTCAGCAATACTTCCAGCTTTCATGTACATTAGATATGAAACTCCCAATTAATATTCAGGTGTGTGTGTGTGTGAGAGAGAGAGGGGTGGAGGGGGGAGGGAGAGAGAGAGAGGGAGAGAGAATGTTTCAGGCACTCCTGATCCAAATCAAGGACAGAGATTTTTTTACACAACAGAGGAGATTTGGCAGAGTGATCACATTGTGTTGCTTCCAGGAATATTATATGGGGAAAAGACGGATGTCACTGTTGGGCCGCTCTCTGCCTCTCTCCCCTATTGAATTTTGCCACATTAGCCTTGGAAAGATGACTGATAATGATATCAAGAACAACTACAAAAACTCCTACTGCTGTCAATAACAACAGCAAACGCTATCTGAGCTCTCCTCCCTCCCAGAAAACCACTGTGATCATACAGAAGTCCTAGTCTGTGCACCGCTCTCCCTGTGGAGTCAGCCATTTGAGTGGACAGAGTGGAGGAAGAATTTCTATACTTGCTTCTGTAACAACTTAGCTTTCCTCTTCCCTGCCCCAGCCTGATCCTTCTCTGTCTACTCTCTCTTTCATGCCTTCTCCCTCTTGTCTTCCTGCAACTTTGTTCCAGTCCTTGTTTGGGGAGATTTATTTGCTTAGATCATTATATCCAACTGACTCTCTCCCCCGCCCCCTCCCGTCACACTTCAACACCCTGTTTGCATGTTTAGCTGAAACTCAAAACTCCCTGTAGGGTTGAATGAAAGATTGTGTGGGATTTCTATGGCATACTTTGCCTGATGAAGAGACTTGTTGTCAGCATAATGTTGGCACACTTCTTTGTTATCAATGAATTCTCTGACAGTGGGAGACAGATCTGCAGGCTTGTCATCATTTTCCGAATGGGCTATGCAATCTCCTTGTTCCAGCAGGCTCTTTTCACAGCAGTCGTGCACTTTAGAAGATAGAGTGGCTTGATGTGAACAGATGTACTTTGACACGTCAGCCTGTAAGAAAGGATCTGGTCAGTATTTATGGCAGTGATCTGGCAGACCCAGAGTAGCTGGGAAAGTTAGTATCTGTTGTCGTATCACTATTATTATGCAATATAACAATTATTATCCTGCATATTAATGCAAGTCACAAAACCATAATTGAAATAAACTTATTTCAACTGAAATAAATTTATCACTTTTACATTGGCCTGACTGGGACCAAGGCGCAATGGGCACAGGAATGAAACTTGTCATTATTTCTGGTCAGTAAACACAGAGATTCAAATGCCGTTCATTTTCTTACAGCCGATTCTTTCACAGCAGAGTTTATAAAGACAAAGACTACTTTTCTATTCCCACAGGCTTTGGAGCACCGACTGATATATGTTTTAACTTTATGAATGTTTAACTGTTGTTTTTAATTATTGATTCCCCCCCCACCACCACATGTTCTTTTCTGTTACTATTTTGTCTGTAAGCTGCTGGGAGTCCCAGCCAGGGAAAAAGGCACAATAAAAATAAATATGATGATGATGATGAGGAGGATATGCATAAATGAGCACACATAAGCACAGAAAAGAATAGGTCCTACAAGCCTTATGTCTGCCTGACCCAGCTCTGTTCTAAATTCAGCAAATGCCAAACAACTGGCTTTTCTGAGCAAGAACGTATTGCTGAGTTGAAGTCAATTACATTGAAATTGACAAAACTTACCCTATCAAGCAAGCACTCCAGAGTATCGCCCTTGCAGCATTCTGTGTAGGCATGTACAATATCCGCAGAAAGCTTGAGAACTGTAGGGAAATCTGCCTTTGGAAACTTTTGACTGAGCTGAGCAACTTTTCTGAAAAAAATAATAAACAAAATGTTGTGATTGTGCCAAGAGAGATGGATGACAGCTACAATTTAATTCTAGTATTATCAGTAGGATAAACATATTGTGCCCTACAATCAAACATGGTGTGTGTGTGTGTGTGTGTGTGTGTGTGTGTGTGTGTGTGTGTTAGAAATGCTGCCTATCTGGGCTGTGTGCTTGTGTGTGTTGCTTTCCATGGCTCCACACAAGCAGATAAAAGCTTCAAAATTTTGGGTACAAAATTTAGCATCCTGTGAACCCCCCATATTCTTCCTTCCTTCCTTCCTGCTAGATAAAGTGTCATGTCCCAGGAACTTTCCTGATGTTCACATTGCTCTTTCCTGATGCTATAATACTATGAACACCTCAAAAGGATGCTATCCGAGAAACAAGTGCATTTGGCACATGTTTTGCAGGGATATATTTTAGTCTCGTTTTTGACTTTCTCTGGAACACTTAATCTATGTAGGTAATTCACTCTGCCCCACCTCACCCCCTTACTACCCCCAATGCAGCTAAACTTACAGAGCCCGCAGGGGCAGTTCTCCAAGCTTCCTGTGGACAGAGCATATCTGCTTTTGTCGAGCAAACTCTTTTCTCAAATACTTTGAGACTTCTGTTGCCTGTAGCAATAACAAACAACAACAACACTTTAACAACAATAATGATGATGGCAACAACAAAAATGGAAATCAGAAGGAAAATGTGCTTGACTCATTCTAAAAACGTTAGGATAGGGTGGAAATCGTGTCCTCCCTTAAAGAGGGCATGTGTTGCGGTGAGACTTGGAAACTGAATCCGTGTGTTGTGGGTGGGTAAGATTGGTAAGCCACAACACCCGATTGGTAGGTCCCTCATAGCTGGGTTCAATCTGGCCAATGGGCGCAGTCCAAATGGATCGAGGGACCTTTATATACCCATGCACGTGACCCAGAGCTTCCTCTTTTGGCGCGTACATTCGGAACACCTGCCCACCTCTCCCTACTTTTAGGGCTTTGTGCTTGACCTTGCTATGCCATTGTGTGTTGTCTGTTGTTGGGACAGGGGCACGGTAGGAATTTCCCCCCTTGGCTGATTGGCTGTTGCCATTTGGGTTTCACCTGCCACGTAGCAAATCATCACAACTTGTAAGGTTGCGGCTAGGCCCTGGTTCAGGATAGGCAATCCCTATGTGAAGGGTATTCTGTTAAAGGAATCCAGAGACTCAAATGGTTTGAGAGGGGGTTGTGCCCGTGCCTGAGTCCAGGGGGACATTTGGGTGGCGGACATAGTTTGTTCCCGACTTTCTGCCTATCCAGGTTTTCACCCTTGGCTGACCTATGCTGGAATCCTGAGTCAGTGCTACCTGCATGGCAGGGAGCTATTCGAACTGGAGCCTATGCAACCAGTCACTTTCTGTAATCAATAAAGTTGTGGCCTAAATTCTGCCAAAATCCAATCTAAAATTTCAGTCAAGCGTGAATTTATTTAGGGGGGAATTTCTGGGTCTGAACACGCAAATGTAAAGTATTTTTTTTAAAAAAAAATAGTGCCATAACAACATCCATTGCAAAACTATTGGGCAAGTTAAAACACTTTTAAGTTTCATTGAATTCCATTGGAATCTATCTATCTATCTATCTATCATCTATCTGTATCTCTATCATCTATCTATCTATCTATCTATCATCTATCTATCTATCTATCTATCATCTATCTATCTATCTATCTATCATCTATCATCTATCTATCTATCTATCTATCTATCTATCTATCTATCTATCTATCTATCTATATCTATCTATCTATCTATCATCATCATTATCTATCTATCTATCTATCTATCATCTATCTATCTATCTATCTATCATCATCTATCTAACATCTATCATCTATCTATCTATCATCTATCATCTATCTATCATCTATTTCTCCTTCCCTTCTAGTGACATTAGTGGCAGCCAAATGAGCAACTAACATAGCTGGATAGGAATGGTAATTGACAACTGCTTCTAGCATCAAATTGGTACATAGTATTCAATGTTGTATAAGCTTGTATTAGTATAAGGGCTAGAAGACTTAGTTTTGCCTGCAATGAGTGTCCAAGCAGCAATTATGGCAAGAGAAGGGCAGGAAAGAGTGGGAGAGAGGTATGGGAGAGAGTTTTGACTTGCATTGGGCCAGCTTAGAGGTTGGGGCATTTATATTGACGGAGGGTGTCCCCATTAATCAGGGCCAATGCTTTTTTATTGCAAAAGGGATTTTTAATAAGTTTATTTAAAAATAAGTAAATTACAAGTTGCATCATGTTACTTAGTTTTCACAAAAACCAGGAAGTGCCATAGGTTCTAACATTTTGCGTTCTGTTATTCCCCCCGTACAGGGGAATGCCAAAGTCTGAGGAAGAATTATGGCAGAGACTGTGCTTCAGGGATAAAACACCTGCTTTATATGCAGAAGGCCTCAGGTTCCAATCCTTTGCATTTAGAAAGAAAATGTTTAGATTGGTGCAGGGAAGGGAAAGAAAAAAAACCTACTGTGTGAATCCCAGGAGTAGACAATATTTGGCTAGATTGACCAGTAGTCTAAGCAGGTGGGGAAAAAAATATCCTAAGAACCTAGCAGAGGTAAATTCCTTAACCATCAGCTACATTATTTGGATGATAACGGAATACCTTTTCTGTAAAGCAGGCATCTTTGTCAGCTTCCTTGCAGCAAGTTGTCAGTACCTCCTTATATTTTCTAGCTCCTGCAAAGATGCTGGAGGTCTTTGAAAAAGGGTATCTTCTGGCAATTTCATAGACATACCTAGGATAAAAAGTTGCCTTTCAATAACACGAACTGCACTTTCTTGCATGAAAGAATGTGGTAGTCAGCACCTTTATAAATTAAGATGATGATATAAAGCAGAGGGAGGGCAATCATTTATCCAAGACTACTAAGAAGAAGGAAAGACAAATAAATTCAAATTCCCGCAATGGAGCCCCGGGTTGCAACTGTGCACGCAAGTGGGCTACTTAACTCCAAGAGATTTCATTACAGGAGATTTGTCAGTTTGTAGCATTCCACATCACTTCCTCCAATAGCAAACTCAAGCAATCCTTTCAGATGCCTATGGAGCCCAAACAGAATCACTGAGAAGCATGGTCGTGCCACCCAGATTTGCAGATGCCTACTTAAAACAAACAAACAAAAAAACAAAACAATGCCAGATATCCCACCACACACCAGCCTGGTAAGGACTGAGCATCCTCAGCTGCCACAGCATATCAAGTGTTAGTTTGAAAGAAAAAAGAGGAAATAGGTGAGAATGGAATGGCAAATCCTAGACGATAGTGTGTCTGGTCAGCAAGCTAGAACCCTGGCCAGGAGAAGGTGGGGATAAATTACAGACTGGCTGGCTAGGACATTGATGAAGGAGCACAGCTGTTTGGAGGTGAGGTTATCTTCATTTTTGACAGCTTGCATGAAGTAGCAGTCAGAATTTGCAATTATCGGATAGATGATTTGAAATAGAAACTTGTACGTCTTATCTTCGTTTCGTTCCTCTCACAAAGGGCAACCAAATCCTCAAAGTTACAGCACTGAATCAATCTACTTACCTTCCCATGGTTTGATCTGGGTCTGCTTCAAAAGCTTTGCAGCCCTCCTCTGCAGATGGTTTTTGAAAGGGAGGAATGAATCCTGGAGTTCCATTTTTATGGGCCAGAATACAGTCTTTTCTTTCTGGGTCAACTTTAGCACAACAGTCAGCAAATCCATATTTCGCAATAATTTCTTGCTCGTGACAAAATTCATCCAGAAAAACGGTACCCTGGTGGAGGGAAGCAAAGTGTTCTCTTAACTGGTTGCAATTGCAGTCGCCTGTTTGCTTAGTCCACATAAAGAAAACATCTTTTTTTTGTGGGGGGGGGGGGACGGTGGACCATATAAGCCTCTTAAATGTTAAACTGGCAGTTGTCCATAGAATTGAGTTTCTATATTCTACATGGTTTAAAGGACAGTCACCAGACAGATTTATTGAAAAGTTAAGTTGGTTTATAAACCGCTAGAATGCATGAGCCCTTATTTTCCTGTTTGATCACTGAGATCATCTGGAAGAGTTGCCCTCTAGTTTTCAAAAGCCTGATTAGCTTCAAGTAGAAGTTGGACATATAGGGTCATGGATCCCATGTTGTGGAATACTATTCTGGCAGAAATTTAGCAGGCATCCTCACTGCTAATCGTCAGACATTTCTTGAAGACATTTTTGTGTTGGTAGGTCTATTCTGCTGAAACTTTTAAAAGATGAACTAGTCATCTTTATGATTGTTCCATATTGTTGTTATTGTACTTTGCACATTTTGTATATGGAAACTTTGTTGTACACTGTCCTGATACGTGGTGGGGTCTACGAATATTTTTGATAACCTATAACTCAAAATGTTCCTGCCAGTGAACAGAGGCAGATATTTTGAGCCAGGAGACAGAACCTGAAAACATAGGCTGTCCCTCCTTGGGGGTTTTTAAGCAGAGGTTAGATGGCCATCTGTCATCTCCTGCCTTCCTCCAAAGTCTGCTGCACTGCCCCTACGAAAGCAGCTGACAACATTAAAATGATAGAAACCATAAAATAAAAGCATAAAACGTTAAAAACAATCTGAAAGCAAAATACTGTAACATGTATCTTACCAGATCCCTGAATATCAGATAGTAGACCTGGATATGTTCCAACAAGAAATGTAACCTGCTATTAAAACTAATAAGTTTCCCATTTTAGAGTGCTACATCTCTGCATAGATCAGTTCCCAATATTTTGCATTTCTTTACAGTTTTATTTCTATGTTCTCTAAATTCAGCTCCCAAACACTTACCAAAGGCTTTGTACATTCTGGATCTGATTTTTCATCAGCAGCACATTTCTTCTGAAGTTCTACAATATCATTCTTTACTTTTGACACCTCTTCATATGTCGCTTGTTGCAGGGCTTGAGAGGATATGACTAGGGCACTAGAAAATGCATACATGATTTATTTGAAAAAATGTTCCCTCTGTGTATAACAATATTCTACATGACTTCTAAGAGCAAGCACATTCTTTTGGGTGGTTAAAACCAAATGGGATAGTAAGGAGATTAAAAGAGATCTCTCACAACTGGGTGAGAGACAGACATTAAAATGACATTTATACAATTCAATGTAAGCAAAGATTCCATTACAGTGGTACCTTGGGTTAAGTACTTAATTCGTTCCGGAGGTCCGCACTTAACCTGAAACTGTTCTTAACCTGAAGCACCACTTTAGCTAATGGGGCCTCCCGCTGCTGCTGCGCCACCGGAGCACAATTTCTGTTCTCATCCTGAAGCAAAGTTCTTAACCTGAAGCAATATTTCTGGGTTAGCAGAGTCTGTAACCTGAATCGTATGTAACCTGAAACGTATGTAACCCGAGGTACCACTGTATATATATTGGGGCAAGAAATCCTAACTTCATAGCCATGTGGATAGGGTCTCAGTTTGTGTAACAGACCAGGAATGGGAATGCATCTGAGCTCTGGTTTTCAAAATATGCAATGAGAAATATCAGAGGGGAAATAGGGGCCTCATGAGACAGAGAAACTAAACAGTCTTTAGGAAGGAGCTGGCCTTATTTATGTAATCAGCTAGTACAAATAGTTATTGATGGAGAATAAGTCAAGCCAGGATTATTGCACTATTTAATAAGTCCTCCCAGATTCATTATATGAGTTTGAGCAGATTAATTGACTAGTAGTGCATACAGTAGCATTTAAATAAAAATGATTGTGATTGCTTTCAGATAACTTTAAACAGTTATGCCATAGGAAGATATTGTTCTAGGCTTGTTGAGAGGACTTCCTTTGCTGAAGTGGTCATAATGGTGGGAAAGCTGCCATTTCAAATTCCCCCCAACACTGCAGAATACACCGCAGATTTTCTGAAATCTTAAAAAAAGAAGCTTCTCAGACGCAGCCGATTAATGCAGGTTTGCTTATGAAAGACACCAACAACTGTGGGCTCCACAGAGGTGGTAAGATCTTGGCAGTTTCCCAAAGGCGCCTGCTGGTGACACCAAGCCTGTCCTTAGGGTCATTAGAGACCTTTCTAAGACAGTTCTTACCCTCTGTGGGGTTGGTTTTTGTTATAGTAAGACCCTATTTGATAAATAATTATAATTCTTGAAAAAATAATTGAAGGGCAACCCGATTTATTTACCAAGTGATTTTAAATCAATTAATCTGATTCGTCAACTCAATATTGGATTATAATGTTTACAATGTGTCTCGCTTCATTTGATAATAGCTTCATACAATTTTGTTATTGGCAGTCCAGAATATTAAGCTAGTGGTAGTTCATAGCCTCTGTATCTGCTCAAGTCATTTGGAAATAAATTTCCTGAAAAGACTTACATCCCTCGAAACTCATCAGGCGTCACTTCGGTAGCTTGTGCTATGGTGTCCTGATGTCCTGTAAAGAAGACAATAATCAAAATTTCACTAAGTGCTTCTAGTAGTACAAGCCTTTGCACATATGTTCAGACCAAAACACTACTGCGTTGGGTAGGCTTTACTCAGTGGTAAATGGGTATAGAATTCCAGCCATATTAGTTAAAAAGAGAATGCAAGCACCCATCATGCCTCTGGGATGCATGAGCCTTGCCCAATATCAGCACTTCAGCATCAGAAATGAAGTAGCAGTGGACCCCTCCGTGGAGGGAGGAGACATTGGCTGCTGGATCTTCCTTTCTCCGTATCCTCAAGAGTGGGAAGTCTAGCTGATCCTATGGACCTTGGACAGCCTCCCATGGACCACAGGACTGCACTCATTGTGACTTTAATATGTATTAGTAATCCCTGTATTTATCGTGCACTTGACTTACTTTTCTATCGCTATTAAAAATGAGGTTCAACCCCCACATTAAAAAATCACAAAGGCAACATTAATCTTACCAACCAAATCAAACTGGTTTATGGCATTATATGACATAAAATGACATATTACCTGCATGCCGGTACCTTCTGGGTAGATGTTTTGACGCGGCCAAGCTTGCCAAGAAAAGAAAAGAAATGAATGTTACCCACTTCATGGTTCCAAATTGTTTAGGGGCTTTGATGATGTGAAAGGTAGAAAGAGCAAAGGGGCAGAGGAGCTTTTATACTTTATCACATGCATGTTGGGTTAATGAGAACCCACCTCATGGTCGTATACTTGGTTAGGACACAATAAATATCCCTGCTAATAATTACATTAATAAAATATTTACACATTATATTTGTTAAGGGGGTATCTTGTCACACAAAGTCTGCCAAAGTTATTCCTCCACCCCAGAATCAGCACAAATAGACATTGGCCTTATCGTACTTCAAAGAATTTAAGCAAACTGCCCTCTGGGTTACCCTATAACTCATATACCAACCTTTCCCCTCTCAATATGTTGTCCAAAGGTGAATTGAATTGATACAAAGTGGGCCTGTGGCTCTTTGTCAAGTTAAAGAGTGCATGTTCAGAGCTGTGGTCTCTGACGTTAATTTCCAAGGCTGCTGAAAGGTAAACATTTGATCTTTTGCAACAGAGTCTGAAAACTCAGACTAGAGTCTTATCCACCTATCCAGGGATATCTGGAAAACTTTTCCAAATTTGATAATATGTTGTATCAAATTAAGTTTTACATAGAGCAGACCTAGGAAAACATATGAACCTTCATTAGTCATGTGTATTAAAATAGCAATCCTATACATGGGAAGCTGGCATAAAGTTATGTTAAGCCCGTGTAAAGCATTTCTGATTCAAACTCTATTCTGGAACAGGGCTTTGGCTGACTGAGCTGGCCTAAGCGTGGCAGAGCCTTCAAATACTGTTTAGGTTGTTGTTGTTTAGTTGTTTAGTCGTGTCTGACTCTTCGTGACCCCATGGACCAGAGCACGCCAGGCACTCCTGTCTTTCACTGCCTCCCGCAGTTTAGTCAAACTCATGCTGGTAGCTTCGAGAACACTATCCAACCATCTCGTCCTCTGTCGTCCCCTTCTCCTTGTGCCCTCCATCTTTCCCAACATCAGGGTCTTTTCCAGGGAGTCTTCTCTTCTCAAGAGGTGGCCAAAGTATTGGAGCCTCAGCTTCAGGATCTGTCCTTCCAGTGATCACTCAGGGCTGATTTCCTTAAGAATGGATAGGTTTGATCTTCTTGCCATCCATGGGACTCTCAAGAGTCTCCTCCAGCACCATAATTCATAAGCATCAATTCTTCGGCGATCAGCCTTCTTTATGGTCCAGCTCTCACTTCCATTCATCACTACTGGGAAAACCATAGCTTTAACTATACGGGCCTTTGTTGGCAAGGTGATGTCTCTGCTTTTTAACTGTTTAGGTTAGACCACCCTATTTGTTGGCTTAATTTATGTGGGGTTGTCAGGTCAGATGTATGGGTTTAGGGTCCAGTCCCTCCCATTCTGCTCTACCATTTCCCCAGGATTCTCCCTTTTTACGGCTTATGCCAGCTTAAGATCTGCCAGGCTTAAGTCAGCGGTCTGGGTCTTGACTGAGCCATGATGAGGGAGATATGGCAGCATATCTCCAGCTCAACTGTGAACCATATGGAGAATCATATGGAGAACCAACCATATGGAGATGTTGGTTTGTCAGGGTGCTCAGATAGGGTTGCCATACATCTAGAAAATCCTGGACATGTCCTCTTTTGGGAGGCCAACATATTCATCTGGGAGTGGGGGATTTTTACATTTTAAAGGAAATGCTCGGTGTGTTGTTTATTTATTTGGTGTTTTTTGGTTCAGGAGGTATTGCCAGGAGATCACCCAGAACAGCAAGGGGGAGCAGAGATCATTCCATCTGGGAAGCTGATATGCTTGAACATAAGGAACATTTGCAGGGACAACCCATCCCATTTCACCACGTGCTCCCTGCACCCTTGTACTCCAAATTCTTGTGGTCCATTCGCACTTCCACTTGTGTTGCACTCCATCTACATTAAAAAGATCTGTAGCAATGTTGGTGTTTATTATGCAAGCACTGTGTAACCAAAGATTGTAACAACTTAACTGCATCCATGTTTTTCTCTATTCGTAATTAAACAAATCATTTGAAGACGGCATGTATGCTGCCCTGATTTCCTCTGATAAAAGGCAAGTTTAAAAATGCATTGAGAGGGAAACCTCTGCTGGGAGTGTAGCACAAATCCCCATTAACTATTTCGTATGACATCAAATTCTAACCCGGAATTCTATAAAGTGGTCTGTTGCAATAATGTTATTGCCAATAATTTGAGCACATCGCCTAGCGTTATAAGATCAGAGATATCACACTTTGAATCATGGTATAATTCTTTCTGCATTGGCATATTCTCATCAGGTGATTTTATGTGAGCTTACCGTGTCACATTTCAAATCTATAATTTTAAAAGGTACACAAAAACATGCACACACTGCTTCTCTCTCACTTTAATAATGAGTTCTTTCAGTCAATTCCCCCTCCTAGATATTTTTATTTTCTAAAATGAATGTCCCAAAAGCTGAACAGTATCCTCTGTGGCAGAGGTGTCCAGAGACATAGCATTTTCTCAGAAAAAATATATAAATAGCCACAAGAGGTAGTCAGAGAGTGCAGCCTGGAACATCTCATTTTGTTGCTTATCACATAGATAGACATTTTGTGTAGGAAATGAAAATATACCATAAAATCCATATACTAGGTTACTGATATGCTGAGAGAGGAGGAATCTTGTTTGAAGGTACAAAAGTCTCTCTCTCTCTCTGTGTGTGTGTGTGTGTGTGTGTGTGTGTGTGTGTGTGTGTGTGAAAAAGAGAGAAGAGTAGAGAGAGTTCTAGAGGTATTACAAAATTATCACATTGGGATCTTGACCTCTCAGAACCTTTTGCAACAATTCTGTTGATTTTACAGCAAAGAAAAGAGTGCCAGTGAGAACATTTATAGAACTGTTTACATAATACAGAATAGAATCACTCTTAAGGGAGTTCTGTCTTATTATGTGAGGTCCCATTGCATGTTGTTGAAGCACAGAAGTGCTTAAGTTTTATCTAGCATTTTGCAAAGAAAAGGATATCAGGTGATAGAGCTATAAAAGTCCACTGGTTGTTATATTTGAGAGTCAGAAGGGACTAGGTAGGTCAGTGGTTGGTGGCTGCTTTAAAATATGTGTTGTAATCATTATTGGTTTGCAAATAGCTACGATAAAAAATGGGTGAATCTGACCATTTCAGTTCTCACAGTTTCTCATTTTTCTTCACTCTTAAATTCTGTTCTCCACATCAATTTACACTTTTTACCAGAAATCCTGTAAAAAAATATCAAAATATACAGATTTTAATATGCAATTTTGTCTCATGTTCATTTTCAGAAAGCAATTTCCCCATATGTAATGCATTTTGGTATGCCGTTTTCACTTATATAAGCATTTAAACACATATTTTACCCAAGAACATGCATTTTTGTGCACATTACTTGGCTGGTAAACTGCACTGCAAAATTCACTACAAATTTTGAAGGATGGATGTGTTTCAGATTGTGTATTATTTTGGAATCTGTCAATCATGTAAATTTGCCTTTAAATGTAAACTGAATTAATTCTCTCTCATTCCTCACTGCTGTATCTTATAATTGCTTTGCACAGGAACTAGATTCTTATAAGATCTCAAGACAGTTGCTATGCCTTATTTCTTTGTGCTTTGCAGTGCATTGCTCCCTCCTCCAGCTTAATATGGTAGTTAGCCAGCAATCCCAAGGCAGCATGCTATAATGGGGTCTCACTGACTTCTGGAAACAAAATATGGATGACATATTGTCAGAAAGTTCGCTCCACATCTCCTCAAAGTGAAGGTAAAGTCTACTGGCATGGGGTGGGGAGACAATTATACTGCCAATAAGTTTGATTTGTGAAGTGTTCAGTTTGGTCATGATTAGGTTTGAAAAGAACAGCACTGCATGAATAGCATTTTGAACATTTTGAGCCACCACCGATACAAGGTATCGTGGATTATATTTGTATATTTCCAAATTCAGTCCTTCCATAGTTGCCAGAAAAGGGTGACAACCTCTTGTTCACATGAATGCAGTGACATGATGATATCTCACCAGATATGTTAATTTATAACTATCTTATTCCTGCTTGTGGACTTCCTAGAGGCATTTGTTTGGTCACGAAGGGAAATGGGATGCTGGCCTAGATGGGCCACTGATCAGCTGAGATTTTCTTACAGAAGTCTCATAAATTGCAATTTACTGCCTTTGTTCCTGGAATTAGACTAAACAATAGTGCTTTTCAATAAAATGTCTAAAAGCTACACTGGTTCCAGAAGTGGAGGTGCTGAGCTGGAACATCTTTACCATGATATGTATCTACTAAAATTTGGTATCTGTATCATAAAAAATGAAATGCCCTTTCTTTCATGAAATATTTGTATGTTGATGATGCACATCGTAGCTAAGCTTTAGAATTAATTGCAATGCATCTCTCCTATGATGCTAATGGAACTGGGTTAATTGTATGACCACAGGAATCACATAGGAAGATTATCTGGGCCATTCTTCTTCCTATTTTGCATTAGACATAAGCTCTAGAAAGACATGATCTCTAACAGCAATGGCTGTTTAACTTTTCCATCTCTCCATCGCATAACAGACTTTTATAATAATGAGAAACAGAATTTGTCATTCTCCACATGCTAAGTATCCAGGGGTGTTAATAAAGGTTCTAATGAGCTTCCATAAGTGCACCAAAAGAAACTCATACACAACACAACTTACCTGGCCATTGTGGGCATCAGTTTGGAGTGGTAACCAAATGTAAACACACACACAGAGAGAGAGAGCTCAAGGGGCGAGGGGAGTTGTGAAACTGTCATTCATTCAATTTTTTCCAACTATTGGCTTTTTCCGTTTTTTATCTTCTTTAGTTATGGGATGAAGCAACTCATGGAAAAAAGAGAAAAGGATAATCAAACAACAGTGACAGAATTTATCATCCTAGGGTTCAAGTCGCTTCCTGAACTGCAGACTCTGCTCTTTATTATATTTTTAGCAATCTACATGGTGACAATGGTTGGAAACCTCCTTATAGCTGCAGTAGTCCTAGCCAATCATAATCTCCACAAGCCCATGTACTTTTTCCTGGGGA